CAGATAGGATATCAACATTGGTTCTTCGTTGATGATGATGAGACTATTCCAGCATTGTCAATTATGAGCTTTTGGTGTGCTCTTATTTGGTGAAATTCGTGATGCAATTCTGCTTTTGGTTTGAGGCCGCGACTATCTGGTCTCATGTGTATGATGCTGTTTGAGTGCTGAAGTTCGCTATTTCTCGTCTTCCTTGCAATTTGGTATCGGAGCTGTGGTTCGGTGCGCTAATCTGGCGCTTGTCTTCTGCCTAATACTACATGCACGCGGTGTGTGTGGTGAGCGACCGTGCCGTGGGACGTGTGTAGTGAGGAGGGCGGAGACAAGACTGGTGACCCAGGAGGTGAGGGGTATCGCCTGGAAGGCTGTGCGGTGATTATTGGGTGTTCGCAGTGTGATGAGAACTATCCAGTGTGTGATTGATGCTGAGGTGGAACGGTTGTGCAATGCTGGTTGTGCCGAAGCAGCGATTGGTCATCACAATCAACAGTGGGTCATCTGGTGAGAATATCTGTGGTTGGGGGCAACTATTTCGAGGTACGTTGCACCTAATCTTATCTACCCTCTTCGACACTTTTTACAGTGAGGATGTGTTCTGTCTTGAGAGTCCTCTCATGTGAGGAGTCGTGTGCGCTCAACCTTGAGAGTCGTCAATCTTCACGTGGAGCATCTGTAAGGAGAGGGCGATGCTATCTGAAGGGCCCTGGACGAAGCACTGGGTCACGGTCACCATGCCAACCCACCGGGAGTATAGCACGCATGCTTCGCTGCTTTGTCCTTTGTCTTCTCGCTGCACTATAGAGGGGCTCTGAAGGGCAGGCCAGCCCTATGGGATAGACGAGATCGGGCGTCTATAAATAAGCACCGGCGGGATACCTTCCATTGGCTGTGATCGTCGTCCTGTTTGCGACGTTAAAGAATTCCTGAGGACTTCGGGGGCCGTCCATAAAAACGCCTCCTTATCAGCCAATTGGTCGGTGTAAGGCTCGCTGCACGCAAGGATAAAGACTGTGCAAGGCTGGCCAGCTCAGTAGAACTCGGGGCACAGGGGCGGGCCGTGTGCACACCTTTAGACACGCACGCTGTCCAGATTGCTCAGGGACGTTGATGACAAGAGACATTCAGGAAGAACTGAGGGAGGGGTAGATTCTAGGTGATAAGTTTGGGTAAGATTCCACTCTGCAGACAGACCCAACAAGCGATTTTTATTTTTGATTAGTTAGATGTACAGTCATTGACATCTGACAGACAACATAGTTTAGAACTGTTCATTGTTCATTGTGCTTCTGTTTGTGAACTAGTCGAAGTCAAAGTAGTTTCGTTTGTAGGGACTTGAACTTACATGTTGGACCCAAATGTATATACTCTCTGACGCAGCCACCGATTAATTAGTTTAATTATAAGTCGGTCCGTGCACTACGCTGCGGTAAGCATCAAAGAGTGTCTTAGTGCAGATTGTGTATAGTTCGCTAGCTTATGAGCGATAGGGACACCACTAGTGAGGACGATCGGATCTTGCGATCGGCTAGACGCCCGATAGCCCACTTGGCCTTAGGACCAAAGGGTGACAAATTTCTGTTCCGCCAGCTCAGAGAGAGGCAGCAACAGCAGAGGAGAGCTAGGGCAGCAGAGGCCAGCAGGGAAGCCACAGCTTCAGCAGCCATGGCAACATCTGTGCAGCAGAGTTCCCAGGCTAGCAGTTCAGGGACCGTAGGGTCAACGGTCGCGCAGACCATGAGTCAGTCCACTGGCCTAATGGCAAGCCAGCCATTAGTGTTGACTCCCGAGGAGGTAGCCATACAGCAAGTTGCTGATCGCGAGGCACAGCTACAGAAGGCTTTAGGAGAGATTAAGGCCGAAAAAGAAAGAATGATTAGAAGAAGAGCCAGATTGCAGCGGCGACAAGCGAACATTAGCGAGTTAGAGGAGATGGACCCAGCGGAGTTGGATGATGAAGTGAGGACCCTGAGCTTGGTCTTGGTAGGAGTAGTAGAGATGCAAGATCAACAGACGACGATCTTACAAGACATCCAGCCGAGTCTGGCCGTGTTGGTCGCCGAGCCCAGGCGGCACCATCACTGTTCGGGCCTGGTATCTGGCCCGTTGTACATCCTCCTCCTTTTGTCCCACCGGTGACTGGGGTATCCCCATATACGGCTCCGGCATCGGTTCAACCTGTCTCCCTGGTATGCCTTTAACAGGCGGGTTCTCAGTAGGTCCTAGTTTGCAGGTTCCTGTACAGACAGTGTTCTCCCAACCTCCGTCTCAGGTTGCCGTAAGAGGGCAGCCTGCTGTCTTGCAACCTGCACAGCCACAGGTTCACAGCCCCAGCAGATAGTGCAGCAGCCTGAACCACAAGGTCCACAATCCGGAATGGTGCAGGTACCGGGACAAAGTCAATGGGTTCCAAAGACGGTCATCGCCGCTCCTAAACCCTTTACATGGGATAAGAGGGGCGAAGACCTCGACACTTGGTTGAGGAAAGTGCCAGTCTATGTCAAGTGCAAACTTACCTTGCCGCACAAGGAAGTGCTTGGGGGTGCCTCCTATCTAGAGGGGAGTGCAGCACGATGGTTGAGTGGTTTAGTGCAGATACAGGGGTACGGTCATGACTTTCGCGCTTGGGCGGTCACCCAGAAATTGGTGGAAGACAGGTGGCATGATCCGCAGGAGGCCCAAAAGGCTACTGACGCGATCCTGACTCTGAGCAATAGACCGTTCAAGTCAGTAAGGAATGCCACAAATGCAGTAGAGCGTCCGATCTGTGTACCTGGAGTGCGCTATGACCCCCAGGTCTTGCTAACCACTTACCTGAGATGTCTCCCTATGCCACACAGGAATCAGTTGGCTGGCGAGGCAAACATCAATGTACACAACTTCCCCTCGTTTAGCAAGAAGGCTCTAGACCTGGATGCAAAGATAGGGCATGGGCACCAACCCACGACGGATGGTAGGAAGAAGTCACTGTCTCCCAATAGGAAGGCGAAGGGCCGTATTATGTTCGTCGACAACGATGGCTCAACCATTGAGTTGGACGACAACTTATAGGAAGGAGTAGGTTCAAAGGCGGGCAGCGTAGAAGCTTCAAGGGGTGGAGTAGTCGCTGCCACAGTGCAAAAAGGTAAGGCGACCGGTAGACGCCGAGGCTCCCGGTCTAGGAGTCAAGTTGACCCCAACGCTCCTCCATGGGAGAAAGCGGGTCTCACAGAAGTCGTGTGGAGAGACCAGTACACCAGGCAGGCCTGTATTCGTTGTGGTCAACATGGCCATAACCAGTTCAAGTGCCGCAATAAGAAGGTGACGGAAAACCAGGAAAAGATCCCGCCTACGATGGGGCAAGCGTTGGGATCCTCCACTCCTGTTGGAAGCAATGTGGCCAGCAGTTCTGGCACTGCGCCGGGAAACGTGTCGGGCCAGTAGGAATGGTAGCTGTTCCTGCTAGGGTCGAGGTGGTGGACACACCCTCACCATCTCGAGAGATGGCCCAAGCTACTGACGCCATCGTCGTCCCGCAAACACATTTTGACCCATCGAGCCTCTGTTCGATGAATGTGTTTGAATCCTTAGAGGAGCTAGAGGAGGAGTGGTCTAGATCAGATCCACTAGCTTCTTGGACGGCATTAGCCAAAGCCCCAAAGGGAGAGATGTTCATCGGTGAGGTAGTCATCGGGGGCTGCAAGGCCGGGGCCTATTATGACACTTGCTCGACTAGGAACTTCATCAGTTGCGCGTGCGTTGAGAGGCTGCGCTTACAGGGCCAAGTGTTGCGCCTAAGTCGACCTGTGCCAACAAACAACGCATGGTAGTCAACGACTACCTCCGGGATGTTGAGTGTTGGTTCCTGTACGCGGGAGGGGGATTGAGACATCGCGTCTCGCTCCTAGTGAGTGATGATCTCCCCATGGATATATTGTTAGGTATGTACTACCTCTTTGTGGCACAACCCCAGTTTGACTGGGACCGAAAAGTGGTCAAACACACTTTGCCAGGTGGGGGGACCGCCAGATTACGTAAGTTTAAAGCTAGTAGTCTGATCGAGTCCCACAGATGCATGTGTGCGGCCATGTTCTATTAACTGTTATAAGCAAAATCCGGAGGAGGGTATGTATCTAGTTTATGTCTCTGTAGCAAGCGAGGCGGTGAAAATGCCGCCGGAGATAGAGGGAGTAGTTACCAAGTACCCTGATCTATTTGAAGAGCCAATAGGGGTTGTTGAGAGGGAGGTCGTCCACGCAATAGAGATTATCCCAGGCTCTAGTATTCCGAAGGGTAGGATCTATAGGATGTCTCCAGGCGAGCTTGATGCGCTTCGTCTGCAACTCAAGGAACTCGTAGAGAAGGGTTGGATCCGACTGAGTGTTTCTCCTTATGGGTCTCCAGTCCTATTCGTACCAAAGAAGGAAGGAACACTTAAGATATGCATTGACTATAGGGGCCTCGATGCCATCACTATCAAGAACAGAGAGCCCCTACTGCGCAGCGACGATTTGCTAGACAGAGTGCAAGGGTGTCGGTACTTCACTAAGATAGATCTGAAGTCCGGGTTCCATTAGATTGCAATCCGGCCCGAGGATCATTACAAAACCGCATTTCAGACTAGGTACGGTCTGTACGAGTTTGTGGTGATGCCTTTCGGCCTGTGCAATGCTCCTGGCACCTTTTAGCACGTTATGAATCGGATATTTCATGACTACTTGGATAAGTTTGTCATCGTGTACCTTGATGACATACTTATTTTTAGTAGGACTGTCGAGGAGCATGTAGCGCACGTAGACAAAGTCCTCAGTCTCCTTCGGCAGCACAAGTTCAAGATAAACGGGGAGAAGTGTGAGTTTGGTCGCACCCTGCGGAGGGTATGAAGCCCAATGACGCGAAGGTGGCCAGCATTCGTGACTGGCCGCGTCCTCAGTCTGTGACTGAGATGAGGTCCTTCTTAGGGATGACAGGCTACTACCGCAATTTTGTTTCAGAATTACAGCATAGTGGCCGCCCCTTTGACGGACCTGACTCGCCTTGACACTCCATGGGAGTGGACAGACTGGTGTGAGGCTGCCTTCAGACATTTGAAGCATGCGTTGACACACCATGAGGTCTTGAAACTACCTTATCCTTACAAACCTTTCGTAGTAACTACGGATGCTAGCCAATATGGTATAGGTGCCGAACTTGCGCAGCAGGAGGGGAAGAAGTTGAGGCCAATAGAGTACATGTCCAAAAAGATGCCCTCTCAGAAGTCGGCCAAGTCCACCTATGAGAAGGAGCTCTATGCGATCTACAAGGCGCTCACCCATTGGAGGCACTATCTCCTTGGGAGGTTCTTCTACGTCAGGACTGATCACCAGACCCTGAAGTGGATGAGAACCCWRCCTGTGCTYTCCGAYGCTCTGAAGCGTTGGATTGAAGTCATAGAGCAGTATGACTTCGAGCCCCAGTACATCAAGGGCGAGTACAACACGGTTGCTGACGCGCTATTGCGTAGACCAGATTTCTCCGGTGCGCTGATCACCGAGTTTGGGCTTGCGGACAATGTTACTCACTCTATGGTGGAAGCCTACTGCGAGGATCAGTTTATGTCCGAGATCAATCGCCGACTCGAGGCGAAGGACAAAATCACTTCTGCCGAGTTTGGGTTGGTCAACGGTCTGCTGTTCCTTGAGAAGGCCGGGAATAAACGTTTGTGTTCCCAATAGGGAGTCTTTGCGTAGTTTGTTTTTAGGTGAGTGTCATGATGCCACCGGACATTTTGGCTTCAAGAAGACTGCAGCCAATCTGCTGCAGCGGTTCTGGTGGCCCACAATGATGAGAGATGCCAAGCTGTACGTGGAGACTTGTCAGGTCTGTCAAAGAGACAAGCCCCGTACACAGGCCCCTCTTGGGCTCCTCAAGCCCCTTCCGATACCGGAAAGGCCCGGTGAGAGCCTGTTCATGGACTTCTAGGACACACTGGTCACCAGCAAGAGTGGAATGGGACACATCTTTGTAATTGTGGATAGGTTTAGTAAGTATGCTAGGTTAGTTGCAATGCCGGAAACAGCAAAGACTGAGCACATCATTAGACTATTCAAGGAGAACTGGGTCAGAGATTTTGGATTACCAAAGTCTATCGTGAGTGACCGGGATGTCAGATTCACTAGCGAGTTGTGGAAGGCTGCAGCTGCAGAACATGGGACACCACTGCAGATGACCTCTGGGAACCACCCAGAGGCCAACGGCCAAGCAGAGCAGCTGAATCGCGCTGTACAACACCTGCTGCGGCATTACATCAAGCCCAACCAGGTGGACTGGGATGAGAAGCTTGCTCTCATCGCCAGCTTGTACAACAACGCTGTGCACAGCGCCACAGGGGTGAGCCCTAACAGCCTGCTACTAACTTTCAAGCCTAGACTGCCCCTAGACTTTCTATTACCTGAGAACCAGCAAACTGCTGCACCGGGTACACTAGAATTTGCTTATCGATATGAACAAACGATGCAGCAGGCAGTGGAACAAATGCAGAAAGCACAGGCGGCAATGACAGAGTCTGAGAACAAACACCGCCGCCCGTCCACATTTCAGGTAGGGGACAGAGTCTGGGTCAAGTCCTCAGAACTGGGACAGGAGCACGGGATATCCCGTAAGCTCATGCCACAGTACTTTGGACCATGGGAGGTTCTAGATGTCGTTGGGGATGAACCGGATGGTCCTTCTTATGTTGTTCGCATCCCTGGTCACCCACACACATATCCGGTATTTCACACCTCAAAGCTTGCACTGTTCGGAGAAACTGATCAGTTCCCCTCTCGTCGCTCTATGCTGCCCCCAACCATGGATGGAGAGGTTGACATCGACGACATCGCTGATCACAGGGAGATGCCAGCTCCAAGACCGACAGGCCGGGGACGTCCTCCAGAACCGAAGCTGCAGTACCGAGTTCGGTTCAGACATCACACTGGTCCAAAGGAGGATAGGTGGTTCACAAGGGAGGAACTGATGCAAACCGCTCCACAGGTTGTCGCTCACTATGAGTCTCTGCAAAAAGGAAAGCGCCCGATTATCGAAGATTGAACTTCGCAGAGGACTAGCGAAGTATGGAGGAGGGAATGCGAGGCATAGGCCTCGGTAAGCCCTACTGGGCCCCTATTTGCAACAGGTCGACCGCCCTAAGTGAAGGCAGGTCCGACAGACGACAAGAGGCCTATTTTTGACTACTTCCCAACTGGGGAAAATTCAGGCAGTTG